TTTTTTTTTTGAAAACCCACTTCACCTCATCTCATCTCTCCCCCTTAAGTTCATGCAGTTTGGGAACTAACGAAAGTAACTCGTCGGAGCAGTGAAAGTATTTGTATTAAAGACAAAGGGAGGCGACGGCACCTCTGTGAGAGAGCGACTGTTCTAGCAGTGTCGTTTTTTTCCACAGTAGCGATGACGTCAGAAAAAAAAACATCGTCTGCGTAGTCAATCTATTATAGGTTTATAATTACATACATCTCTGTCGTCAGTACTGAAAAAAATTACCTACCGTATAACTGTGCTTACATCCATTGTTTAGTTTATATAAACGTTCAGTTAGTGTTGATGAATAGCAATAAGTGGAATTTTTCCGCTTGGAAGAATTCAATAACACATCACTGCTTTTTATATACTTTCATATCAGACGACATTTTACCAGACTGTCGCTAAGCTACTATATGTAACAATGCAACAAACAAAAGAAAGAGAATTATGGGTCATTGTTAGGAAGGTTCATCCTGTACTGCCAATACCACTGGCACATGACTTTGATATCGTTGGCCAATATAATAAATTAGGAAGCACTACTTTCCAAAAGGCCCACGTATACGTGTGCATGTGCACGCTCGTGTGTGCGCGTGTAAATCTGTTTCAATATCAAAGGAAAGATGATCAGTCAAACAAGAAACTCCACAGTTCTTTATTCTCTATCTACATTAGTTTTGATAGCTGAACGCCGATGAAGATTCAAATATCAATAAATGATCGATTAAAAGAACCAAAATCAAAATAGTTTTCCCCCCACCCCCACTACATATACTGCCACACCGTCACTACCTGCCACACCCCGGCTTCCGACAGCCTTTTTCTCACTACGGCTTTATTGTTTACTGTTTCGAAACACCGTATTGCAATGGAGCCGACGCACAAGTGATTTACCGCGGAGTAGATGGCGCCTAAAACCGGGGAGAAATGGCGGTTTATCGAAGTGGAAGGATATTCCTACCTTCATGCGGAATGAGTACATAAGAGTGAAGAAGAATATTCAAGTGCGCATGACCTGGGAGCAAATGTTTTCAAGAACGTTAACGGAACTACTTTGGCACGCGTATGTATTTTTAGGTGTGCTGAATCTGACATTTTTTTTATATACACGTTGATGCGAACGTATTAAGTTATAATTTTCTCTTATCATGAATTTTACAAGTGTGGATTACCTGTCTAAGTATTTGAAAGTATACCTACTAATTAGTGTCTATAAGATCTGTATACAGATCTGCATGGTTATCAAGAATGTAGGACTTGGGTCCTTAAACATTGCGTTCTGTTGAAGTTGGAGCTACTGTAGTAAAGAAGCTTCATTGTGGCTTCTCTGAAGAAATAAAGAAGCTACAACAGCTAAAATGTTGTTAGAATAGGAACAGTTAAGCCATTAGGAAAAAAACTAAATACATTCAAAACAGCTCTAGACATGGGCAGCGGAATGTGAAAAATCTGCCCAAAATAAAGCTATCTATCTATCTATCTATCTATCTATCTATCTATCTATCTATCTATCTCATTCTGTTTCTATCTATCTATCTATCTATCTATCTATCTATCTATCTATCTATCTATCTATCTATCACATTCTGTACAGATCTATCCATCTATCTATCTCATTCTGTTTTTATCTATCTATTCATCTATCTATCTATCTATCTATCTATCTATCTATCTATCTATCTAATTCTGTTCAGATCTATCTATCTATCTATCATCTATCTATCTATCTCATCTGTTCAGATCTATCTATCTATCTCATTCTGTTCAGATCTATCTATCTATCTATTCTGTATCTATCTATCTATCTCATTCTGTTCAGATCTATCTATCTATCTATCTATCTATCTATCTATCTATCTATCTCATTCTGTTCAGATCTATCTATCTATCTATCTATCTATCTATCTATCTATCTATCTCATTCTGTTTCTATCTATCTATCTATCTATCTATCTATCTATCTATCTATCTATCTCAATTTCTGTCACTTTCTCAATCTGTTCATCTTTCTTTCTTTCTTTCTTTCTTTCTTTCTTTCTTTCTTTCTTTCTTTCTAAGTCGAAGAAAAAGTTCAGTTCCAAATTTCCTGACAGTTATCCGGATCGATAGACTCCTGAAGAAGATCAGAATCACAATATTGTGATAAAAACAACAAAGACGAGGACATTAGTCCTCCGAATATAAATAATTAAGAAATGAAAATTCTTTATTCCAGAAATTCAGAAAGAATCTATATTCCGCAAAACTGAATATTGCCAACATTGCAAATAAAAAAAAAATTAAAAAAAATTAAAAATATTGAATTAATATAATGGCTCTAGCCTCTTTAGATATAAACCCAAATACAAAAAAAAATGTACTCTGGGAAGCAAGAAAAACGGTTGCAAATAATATTAAAGTCAAGATAGTAAAATTGTTAATAAATCAATCTATGAAGAACTGATTGATGTTACCTGTGCAAGGAACCCATATTATCATGTAGCAATAATAATTTATTAATCTTTTTTGAATCAATTCAACCCAAGCAAGGCGATAATACCACTAAGACGCAAGGGGTTATTGCGAATAAAAGTGAATGAAAATACTTCAGAAAGAACCCGAAACCCAACCCTAAAAATGAAACAAGGGATAAACCTCTACTCCTGTTCAAAAGACCGGGGAGGAGTGTGAATTTGACGATAAGCGAACCTATCTCCTCTTATTGAAGAAAAAAAATAGTGAATAAAATTTCAGAGTTTAAGCGGAGACGTTAGAAGTATAAAGTTGAAGTAGATTTTAGAAGGAACCGGAAACCCAATCCTAAACAGAAAACAAGGGATAAAAACTCTACCCTTGTACTATGTGTATAGGAGAAGGTTTTAACCGAATGTATATTCCTCTTGCTTTTATATCTAGGATTTATTTACAAAACAAAAAAAAAAACAAAAAAAAAACAACAAAAAAACAATGATGTTGCATTTTGCATAATAAAACCTGACACTCCGCAAAGAAGTTATCAATATTTCTTTTAATAAGCATTTCATTTCATATAGTTTATAAATGAATGAAATAACCCTCAGATTTGCATAAATTAACCCAACTTGTAGTTCATTATTAAAAGAGAATTGATTCGTTTTCTAAGGTTTATCAACGTTTTGCAGTTAAAGCCAAATAAGATAATAATGTCTTAGAGATACAAGGCTTACGGATTAACCCGTAGCTAGGGGAGAAGAGGTGGATCCAAGAGTATTTACGTGTAAGTGAATATAACAAAACCGGCGAGAATTGGAACTCGGCTCTCCAATTAACAATTCTGAACCATTATCCACTACACCACCCGCACATCCATGCTTACAGCACCTAGCTATCCCAAGCGGTTACCCATCTAGGTATTTACCAGACTCGGTGTTGCTTAACTTTAAATGTGATAAAGCTGTAAGCTATACGTATTTGAGGATGAAAAACAATATTCAAGTAAAAGATATCAGTCCGAAGTAATAAAACGTACGATAAGTAATTATTAAAGTCAACAGTAGAAGAATGAATAATATCAGTTTGTGAAAATCTGATAAATACTATTGAAAGACAAGGCACAGATGTGCAAAATAGTAAAAATATGTATTCGGATCTATCCAGGGTCTATCTTTAAGTTCTGAGTATGAGGATAAGCTACACGAAGCAGCAAGCCCTCCGTTCAGGAGACTGGAGGTTTTTGAGGTGTTCCCAGGTCCACCCTGACCCGGGTGGTAGCACCTGTTAGGGTCCCAGATATAGGCAAATAGTAAGCTCCCCAAACAAAGAAACAAAACGCTATAAAAGTATAAAAATATATTTTTATAGTAAAAATAATAATAATATTAGGTTGGTGCAAAAATAATGACGTAATAATGTCGTTTTTTACGTATTTTTTTAACGTCAAAAAACGACATTATAACGTCATTATTTCTGCACCAACCTAATACATCTTTATACAAAAAAAATTTACCAACAATATGTATTTATAGCATAGGTGGTCCGAAAGTCGTGTCACCCCTACATTATATAATTTTCTATTTCAGATGGCTGACATGAAAATGATGGTGTCCATACAGACCTTCTCGATGTACATGTGCTTTGTATTAGTGTATTACTTGTTCTTCTATTGTTCTCATTACTTTTTGGTGAGGGGTGACAAGACTTCCGGACCACACGATAGAATTACGAATACATTAATCTATATAATATCCTACAACGTTTTAAAGGAATAAAGCTATATTCCATAATATAGCTTCAAAAAAACTACAGTATAAAGCACACACATCACCGCCTCTAGTAATTATATCCACGCAAACATGTATATGCAAAAAAAGCTGAGTATTATCTACCATGTATTCAATTGTGAAAGCAGAATAACATATATCATATTTTTATTACTTCAAAGCTCCCAAGAAAATTAAATTTCGTCATTAAATGCTCTATCTTTATAAGTGTAACATCAACATAAAATGGAATATTATTACTATATCTGGACTGGAGCTCTACAGTCTTTACTGTTAATCCTTGACAATGGATTATTTTCAAGTCTACAATCATTTCTCCCAGAGGCGAAACGTCACAATCCCCTCGTTACTCTATCGTTATTTCGATGACATATGTTTTGTTCTAACTTCACATCACCCTAGCCATTGTCATGTCCTTTCGTATTTCACTGTTAAGGATACTTCCCTGGTGAATAAACCCTTAACACTTTCAAACTTAGGGTGAATCGTTACCTATCCTACATATTCGCCTAATATGCATTTCTTTCTTTCTACATTTATAACAAACTAATTCAGTAACAATCTAAGGCGAATCGCAATTTGGTCTTGTACTGAATGAATAATATTATAGCAAACATCTACTAATAAATATTTATGTTACATCTGGGTTGTTTACACTAGAAGCCTAGAAAAGAAAGATATATGAAAAGATATAGAAAGAGACAAAACTGAGACAGAGAATTAGATTTATTTGAACAGACTATACACATAAAATAGATAGAAACGAACAGGCAGTACATTAGATAGATTGATCGATAGATAGATAGATAGATAGATAGATAAACAGACTGCGATAGATAGATAGATAGATAGATAGATAGATAGATAGATAGATAGATAGATAGATGAACAGACTGCAGTAGATAGATAGATAGATAGATAGATAGATGAACAGACTGCGATAGATAGATAGATAGATAGATAGATAGATAGATAGATAGATAGATAGATGAACAGACTGCAGTGGATAGATAGATAGATAGATAGATGAACAGACTGTGATAGATAGATAGATAGATAGTACATTAGATAGCTAGCTAGCGAGATAGATAGAGACATGAACAGACTGATAGATAGATAGATAGATAGATAGATAGATAGATAGATAGATAGATAGAGACATGAACAGACTGCAGTAGATAGATAGATAGATAGAGACATGAACAGACTGCAGTAGATAGATAGATAGATAGATAGATAGATAGATAGATAGATAGATACCGAGAAAGTTTACATTAAAAGGACGGAGTAACCTCAATACCCCACTGCTAAAGGAACCAGGAATTCATTGCAGTATTTTGCCTTGAATGTCCCCATGAATTACAACAGGACTAAGGTGGGGGTAGGGGTGATCGCAGCGGCGGAAAATGCGCTAACTGAATGAAATGAATGAATTAGACTTGTTTGCAGAATAAAACGTGATAATAATCAACTCAGTTATTATGAATATTCACAACAAAGACGAGGTGTTATAAACTCAATGTCACATACAGGGAGCCGCAAAAGGAGGTATAAAAGAAGTATTATAACAGTAGTATTAGGTTGGTGCAAAAATAATGACGTAATAATGTCGTTTTTGACGTATTTTTTAACGTCAAAAAACGACATTATTACGTCATTATTTTTCACCAACCTAATATTATAATATTGGACATTAAAAAAAAATTATAATTATTAGGTTGGTGCAAAAAAATGACGTAATAATGTCGTTTTTTCGACGTTAAAAAGTACATAAAAAACGACATTATTACGTCATTATTTTTGCACCAACCTAATATTACACGCTTGGATTGAGGAATCGGAGAGCCAAGTTCGAAATCCAGTCGAAAACAATTATATTCACTTATGTGCTAATACCCTTAGGAAAGGTATGAATCCTCTTCTTCTCTCCCCCAGCTATGGGTAAATAGCTGGACAGACTTAGTTATATAGCCTTGGATAGCAACTGATCTACCGCAGAAAGAAATGACAACCTACTACGGGAAAAAAACCTGACTGATATTATATAGTAATCTTATTACATATTTAATTAATATATATATATATATATATATATATATATATATATATATAATCTTATTATATTATTTATAATAATTATATAAATATTATAATAGAGGTCCTAGGATTTATTTAATACTAGAATTCATTGAATTCATTAAAATCATTTTAAATATATTTTTTTCAAAATTTTTATTATATGTGTACAAACAAAACCCTTTCATCAACGGACTAATAGTGGGGAAGGATGGTTCGTTAAAACCGATTGTCCGTAGATGGGAAGGAATTATTTTTGAGTTATAAAACCACTATAGTAACTAGCAGTAGTTGTGATCATAATGTAAATACTATAAACATGTATATATGGCATAAATAAATATATACTTAATATACATATATTAATCAAAGTAACAAAAATAATAGATTTCTCACAACTACTTTCTCACGCACACGCTAATGTATCGTACTTTATATACTGTACACCTGTCTTTGTTTATAATTGAAAGGCCAGCCACCGCCGCCAAGCGGTCACTTTGAGAACTAATACGACTTGTTCTGCTAGGCTCGCAAATTTTGAAATACATCGCTGATGATTTGGAAGTTTCTAGCCTGCATTTTTTTTTTATTTTGCCTGCAGATTTTGTCCGTTACATGCGACGTCCGTTGATGTGAGGTCCGTAGATGAGAGGTTTGTCTGTATTAATATTTTTGTTATATGTGTATTATAATTTTTGTTTTTTAATAAATAATAATAAATGTCTTGCATGTAAGGAGGAGTGTGTAAATTAGGGATTGATATGTTTATTATTGATATGTTTGCATAACCAACACATATACATTTTGTGCACGCGTTTTATTTCTTTTCATTATTGTATACCTACTTTTACATCCCCCCTCTGTATAAAAAAATGTAGCAACACCAGTTGAGAAATACAACATTTTGTGGAAACTGACTTGCATAATAAAATCTGTCACAAAATGTCAAAAGCGACACAATCGTGAAAGCTATTGCTTCTTCTCTTCTACGTGCCGTTCTCCTTCAGGTCGTGTGCGATCATTGCTCTCCACAGCTTCTTATTAGTCCTTAGTAACATTTGTCCTTTTTAACATCCCCCGGTCCGCTCTGCCACCAATTCACACAATCACGTCAGTTAGGTTACCTGTTGCTCCCACTTTTCCATTTTGCCTTCAATATGTACTGTGAGTGTCGAATTCTACAAACCGCCTTTCCTCTTTATGAATCCAAGAAATGTGTCTTTTCTTACTCCTATTTTCTCTTCAGAATTCTTCGTTGCTAACGCGATCTGTCCATGATATTTCCAGCATCCTTCTGTAGAACCATCTTTCTGTTGCCTTTCTCTTCATCTGTGAGGTAACTGTCCAGCATTCGCTGTCATATAGAATGGTTGATATTACATAAGAGTTCAGCAACCTTTGTTTCCAACAAAACTTTTGTTTCATACTGCTTGCTTAGCTTTTGAAATGCATTTTTACTCTCCAATGTGTGTTCGAATTTCAGCGTTACATTTTCCCCAATTTGAAGCTCACATATTGTTCTTGTTCTCTTTTTGACAACTATACATTGTTTTCATACAATTGATCAATACTTTATCGCTATTTCCATGGAAAATATTCTGATGACCTACAATAGTACTTCCCATCCATTTAGACCTTTATAGCTAGGACTAATCAGGCTATGTCGACGTATTTCCTCCTTATTCCACTTGTAAGGTGGACGTTCCACACAGGAAGCTTTTTCCCGATGACTGTTACTTTATGGAACAAGCTCCCGTGTGGATACTTTCATGAACACCACACTCTTAACCTCTTCATATTAAGAGTCAATCGCTGTCCTTATTCTCATAATATTCACTTTCTTCTATCTTCTATTACATTCATATCACTTAAGCCTCTACCTTGACCGACTCTTGAGCCTTGTATTGGATGGGGGTTTGTAAGAAAAAAGCACAAAAGAAACGGTTCCGAGAGTTTCACTCGGATGCTAGATCATCTCATGAAGGTATATCTATCCTAGAGAGACCACGCTGTTGTTCTGCAACAGACGTGGAAAAGACTTTGCATAGTCAAGCAATGTCTAATTAATTATAAGAATTAAAAAATGCAAAGAATATATTTTGATAATGGCGAGCAGATTCTTGCGTTTATCTTTAATCTCTTTGAAGTTCCTAATTGTTCTTTTTTAGCTTCTGGGTTTTAGTGAGATAGTATGCCCACTTATGTAGAAAGGCAAGAAATGGTTTTATCGCAATCTCAAGTGTTTCCTCTTTGATGGACCAGCAGATTGTTCCATTTTGACCGAAGGGGAATGGGTAGTAAACGTATGAATTGAGGCTTTTAGAAGTGATAATAAAACCGAAAATAAGATATATCCTGGTGCTGATAGACAACTGCCATGCTTGGGCTTCGGAGAGAGTTCTGCTCCGTCCTTGGTGAGATACGTGTCCGTTACGCGTTTACGAAGCCTCGATTCGTATTGCCATTTACCACGTCAATAGAGGGAACACCTGATATAGCAGAAGATGTCCCGAGCATCATCTACTTATCGACCCGGACGAGCAGGCGATATCCTCAATAAAACATCACATATAATATGGGAAACTGGGTCCGCGTTTTCAGTTCTCGACTTGTTTGTCCTTCATCGTGTTACCTTGGGAGTATGCCGTACGCCCTTCCTCCAGTAACGGGATCGAGAATCGGAATACAACGACAAGTTACCATTGGCAGGTCGGTGGGAATCTTGGGTGAGGGTCGTATTGTATTCTTTAGCTTAGTTCTTTTAGTCTATTCCTAATCTCTTTCTCACCTAGATTATCTGAGAACGAAACGGATGCGGAATATCCTATTTTGAAAGAATAACCTATTTTGACGGAATTAGTGAATTCTCTCTTGTTTTATGGGACCCGACTTACAGCGGAGTTAATATCTATTTAGCTGCATCGATTTGTTTATACGCGCCTGTATGGAGGCATCTGCAATCGTTTGCAGATTCAGGATGGGTGTAGGGAGATAAGAATGTGCTCTTCAAAACAGCAAGTATACACGCGCGCCTGCCTCTAACTGCGGTTGCTGTTGCCTATCTACTGGAGCGGCTGTGTTCACCCAAGTATACAGATCTAAATACAAACCCTCACAAACGTAGATAGATAGATAGATAGATAGATAGATAGATATACGTGTGCACGCACGAATGAAAGTACTTATATACATATTCAAAGTATATAATACTTGCATTTTCCCGCTTTTTTTTAACCTCTCCCTGATCTGTAAACATTGCTCCGTCGAGCATTTCTAAATAAAATCGAGCAGATAGCGAACGCTAAACACGAAGAAAAGAAAAGGAAATTTTATTTCTCTCGTTTAAATAATGCGAAATATAATATTATTTCTTTAATCGAGTTCACCCCAAGCAAGGCAGTAAAGCCACTGCGATACAAGGGGTTACTGAGTGTGGAAGATTTAGAAAACAGAAACATTGCTCAGGAGCGAGAAAAGAGGATGTGTAATCAGAAGGATACCAGATAGCGAATGTTGCGCTAAAGATTTTGCAGGTTAAATTTGGCTTGAAAGCATATATATATATATATATATATATATATATATATATATATATATATGAAAAAAAATATTTCCCCTTTTCTGGCAAGATTAATGCTGGACAAACGTACTTATAAATTTTAGATTAAAATAAAATTCTTTTTCATTCAAAATATACTCTATTTTAGGAATACGTTTTCACAACATCGCCGAAGTGACGCCGACGTGATCGTATTGCGAAACGGAACGCTGATCTTAAAAATTTCAGTTATTGTGTTTTGATTAGTCTTATGTCTATCGTCTTTTCATGTTGACTTGAATATCGTCTAATTTTAAGTATGTTTTAATAACTATGTCCTGAAGAAGGTCTACTAGACCGAAACGTCTGACGTCGACATTGAAACAACATTAAAACAGCATACTTGCATACTAGGATTTTTGTTTTTCCATATTTTTCTTCATACTGTCGGATCTATATCCACATATTTGCTTACACACACACACACACACACACACACACACACACACACATATATATATATATATATATATATATATTATGTACATTTGTGATTTTTTTTTAATCGGGTTCACCCCAAGAAGGCAGTAATGCCACTTAGATGCAAGGGCTTACTGGGTGTGCAAGAGTTAAACACAGGAACATTTCTAAGGAGCGGGAAAAGAGGAAGTGTAATCAGGAGGACAGCAGATAGCGATTGACATTGCATTTACATTTTTGAAGATCAAAGTTGGCCGGAAAGTATAGAGCCGGAAGAGAGTTCCACACGCGAGAAGCGCGAGAAAAGTAACTGCTAGCATAGAACTTACGGCTACATCTTTAAATTGGCGAGACCATATCACTAGTTTAGTACTGCGCTTAAATTCAAAGAGTCTAGACACTAGGCTCATCCGAACAATTACTATGAAAGTATTTATAGAAAGGCAAGGGGAGGCAATGGAAAAGTTATAGAAGCCGAGATGCCAGACCGGGGCCAGTAATATTGCTGGTTCTTTTTTGGATTTTATCAAGGTGCTCTAGATAGATAACAGGAGCACCAGGCCGTATGTGGTAGCAATATTCTATGCATAGATGAATGGTAGACTTTATAGATATGTATGGTAGATTCTGGGGAAAAAAATTCTAGCACGACACAGAGAACCAACCAGCTGGCAGCTGACCAAGCAATGAATTCAATATCGTCTTTCCACTTCACGTCAGCCGAGAATGTTAGCCCAAGAAGACGCAGCGAGACCCCACCCCCCGAAGGTCAGAAGTATGCGACCATTTGACTATCTACGTTTGTATTTGAACACGAAAAAAAAAAAGAAAAAGAAAAGATACCAGTCAGTTATGTACCATGCGTGATACACGCTTAGGCAACCATCTATCTTTCGATACATGACTGACGAGGCAGATTTTTCCCGCAGTAGTTTGCTATTTCTTTCTAGTTGCCATCCAAGGCTATAGAACCCGGTCTGTCCTGTTATTTATGCATAGCTGGGGGAAGAAGAAGATTCATACCTTTCCCAAGGGTATTATCACGTAAGTGAATGTAATGGATTCCACTGGAATTCGAACTCGATTCTCCTATCGCTTCAACCCGAGCAGCTATCTATTACTCCACCGTGCCTCCTGACATAAAAAGATATACATTTTGGAAATAAGCGGGTTGCAACACATTTGCGAATTAAGCGGTAACGTCGAGCAAAGACAATAGAATATGTAACTGTCTTGATGTATTTTAGCGGGAAAATCAAGATAAGTTTGAAACAGCGCTCGCTATGCAAGAAATCAGTTAAGAACTGGGTTTTTGAATCCTGATTTCGCATTCACGTCTAAGTATGAATACCACATCAATCTGTCTTAAATAGATCGATACATAGATATGAATAAACTGAGAAATACAGACCAGAAATAGATAATTAGATATGGAAAGACACTGTGTGTAATAGCTAAATTGTCCAAATCAATGCACAGCATAATTGTCTATCTCACAAAATGTTAAATATCTAAAAAAAAACAACAAAAAAAAAACACTAGACTAATTGAATTTCCTTTTTCCAGGTTTTCAGATAAGGCGTTTAGCCATCTTGACACCATTTTGTCGTCAGAATCAATGAAAAACTCTTTGAGTTATTTTGTTAGAACGAGAACAGGTTAAAACTGTTTTGTCTATTTACCAAAATAGGAATATTAGGAGAAAACATTTCCTCTGTATATTCTTGGCCATCCCGAGAAAAATATTAGCGTAAATATTGGGTCAGCCGAAATTTCTTGTGAGATATTTCGCCAGCTGTTCTCAGGTGGTTACAAGGACATTACTGGCGTCACTGAATAAGTACAAAAATAACACTATCTTGAGGCAAAAAAATATCTCCCATGCTAAATAGATCGTTGAACAATTCTAATAACTAGTGTGGCTAAGGATTTCTTTCGAATTCTTAGTTTTTGGGAGAGACCAAAATAAGAATGGTAAGATTATCCTTTTCCACACAGGGAACATTAGGCACTCATTGACAAAACAGTTCGAGATACTGTCGGCCGAAATTAACGTTATACAGAACTTGTGTATTTTAAAATTAATGAGGGCTTACGGCCATATCACGTTGAAACACCGGTTCTCGTACGATCACAGAAATTAAGCAATGTCGAGTCTGGTCAGTACCTAGATGGGTGACCTCTTGGGAATGCCAGAGGCATGGATGTACGGTTTGTGTAATAGATAACGGCTTGGAACTGTTAATCGGGAGCCGAGTCCCAATTCTCGACGGATTCGTTATATTCGCTTACATGCAAATACCCTTGTAAAAGTATGAATTCGTTTTTTTCACCCCCAGCTATGGGTTATTAGCTAAAAAAAAACTCCTGACAATAAAAAAAGATTTCTGGCTTTAAATAACCTCAAAGGGTTGGTAAACCGTAAAAAGCAAATTAATTTAAAGAATCACTATTTATATCAAAATTTCCTCCTGCAGAAAATCATGAATATTATTAAATTACTGATTCAGGTATTTGGCTTTTATATTATTGTAAGGGCAGTTTTATTGGGTTGTTCTAACTTATGAATAAAAACGTTACAAAGTACTTTATAAAAAGTACTTGGGTATAACACATGGTTATGATGTCAATGTAACTAATTTGTTCCAAGTTATCAATGGAAACAGAGACCTTGGATATAGGCACTTTACATCGTCTGTATAAGACATTTGTGATAGATACTTATGTTTGTCAGTGATATAATTTAATTTGGTTGATGTTATTACTGAGCAAGTTGAAAGTTTTCACCAGGAAATTAAAGTTATGAAAAACGGTATCAAGGAAGATATAGCAAACGAATGCTGGCTGACACCTGCTGGAACTTAAAACAAGACAAATCTTATAAACATTCCTGAAAATTAAAATAATGAAAGTTCTTGTCATGATTACTATTTACTCTCAACATTCAAGTTTTTAATCACTTGTGTTATATTTCATTTGTATTTCAGAAGTTTTATTTTATTTCGCGGTAAAACGGTGGTTAAACGTGAAATTATTTCATTTGTATTTCAGAAGTTTTATTTTATTTCGCGGTAAAACGGTGGTTAAACGTGAAATTATTTCATTTGTATTTCAGAAGTTTGATTTCATTTCGCGGTAAAACGGTGGTTAAACGTGAAATTATTTCATTTGACTTTCAAAAGTTTTATTTTATTTCGCGGTAAAACGGTGGTTAAAGGTGAAATTATTTCATTTGTATTTGAGAAGTTTTATTTTATTTCGCGGTAAAACAGTGGTTAAACGTGAAATTTTTTCATTTGTATTTCAAAAGTTTTATTTTATTTCGCGATAAAAACGGTGGTTAAACGTGAAATTATTTCATTCGTATTTCAAAAGTTTTATTTTATTTCGCGGTAAAACGATGGTTAAAGGTGAAATTATTTCATTCGTATTTCAGAAGTTTTATTTCATTTCGCGGTAAAACGGTGGTTAAACGTGAAATTATTTTTTTCTTCACATGTACAGTGAGCTAACGCAATCATGAGAATATTTTTTTACCTTGGATATGATATTCTGGAACAGAAAAAAATTAAAGCTAATGACGAAAAGTGAATGCTACTCAGCACCCCCCGCCCCAAAATTGTTAAAAATTTTGCCAAAACATCCCATGTAGCCTTTCAAGAATATTTTTTTGTAGAACTGTATTGTTTGAATATCTCTTCCCTTGTAAATCAAGATTTCCGGATCTATTTTTTACAGTAACGTTCACCCTGTATCAGAACTAAGACCCATTCAAGGTAGAGTGTTACAGAGTAATAGGTAAGGGGGATATGTGGATATGTGGAGAAGATAACAGTAAACTCTAGACGAACAGGTTAAGGTTGTAGTGATAGAGGAAGCATTCAGTTGAGAGTCGGTTCCACAAAACATCGGTTCGTGGGAAAAAGCAGCTCGAGTGAAACTTCAGTCAGTCAGTTATGTGCCATGCGTGATACACCCTTAGGCGATGATGTATCTTTCGAAACATGACTGACGAGGCAGATTTTTTTCCCGCAGTAGGTTGCCATTTTTTTCTGCGGTAGACCAGTTGCCATCCAAGGCTATAGCAGCCAGTCTGTCCTGCTATTTACTCATAGCTTGGGAGGGGGAGAAAAGGAGTTATACCTTTCTCAAGAGTATTAGCACGTACGTGAAT